GGCCTTGCATTGAACGAATGAGACAAGCTAGAAATGTGAATTTACCAAAAATATGTAAAAGGAGAAACTGTCGAATACTTTTATACCGGTACCATTTTATTTCTACCGGAACAAACGAGTCTAAACCGGGACTGCCCGGTCGGTAAAACCGCGACAGTTGGAATGTTAATTTGAAGTACTAGTATATTTATCATTAGGCACTGGTGGTCAGCTTAGATATAATTAGTCCATTAGAAATTGGAAAATTTCTCATGATTCACTGACTATTCGGAAGAAATCAACAATAAAAACGCGAAATTCGACATATTTTGTGGCGGTTTGTCACATAAATAAATTTGTTGCTTAATCAAACGTGAATCTAAACGGAAACTTTTCCAGGCAAATTTGTAGATGGAGATGTAGAGAACACGTATGGATGACAAACGTTATTAAAAAGTGGTTAGGGAAGTCTTTTTAAACGAACGCAATGGCTTTTTAGTGATTTTGTGTCGCGCCATATTCGAGGCCATGTTTATATGTATTTCGCCTCCTGTTGCGTGTCTTGAATTAATTGGCCAATTTACTGAGGGTAAATGCCGATCGTGTCTCACACACGTTGCCATAAATGTAATTAAAAAAGACTAAAGTATAGCTTACAATGGGAATACCTCAGTGTTAAAGCTCAGATGAGCGAGCAGGCATAACTGGCATATTTGGTGTGGGGGGCTCTGTTGACTGTTGTCATTGTTTGACTAAGATTTTATATTGTATATTTGTAGAATGTTTTGGAAAATTCCGTGTGTATAAAAATAACAGTCTTCAACACATGTAACAATTAATTAGAATAACTTTTGTTCTATTTAAGATGGAATAAAAAACTCAGCTACCGTTGTCGATGGAGGCTTTATTATTTAGCATTATTAATTTTGCATTTTCCCCATTGATTCTTAATTTAACCTGTATTTTTACGTTTTCTAATTTTCTGGCGATAGGCCGTGGCTGATGGGGCCCCTAACTGTCGGGAGCCCTTAGTTTTTTAACTAACCCTACCCAATGAGCGTTACACCACTGCTGATAGACGATAGTATCGCCTATCGGAAGTTCAGAGTTCATGGGAAAACCTTAAAAAGCCATCCCAGTTATAACCAGATGTTCTTTAATTAAAAGTTTGCGCAAAGACGTGAGGTGTATTCATTATCATTTTTATTTTGCTGTTCTAATATTTATTTTTCTGTACTACAAACTAGGCACAACGTGTATTCAAATACGTAACATATCAACTATCAAGTAATTAAAGCAACAAAGTCCTGCCTATAGTATGATTCTGTGTTTGAATAAATTAGACCATATAGGCTCAGTACAAAAAGATTATTTTAATAACTACGTTTCGGAGTATAACTCCATCTTCAGGTTAAAAAGTAACTAAAGATATAAAACTTTAAAAACAACAATTGTTTTTAAAGTTTTATATCTTTAGTTACTTTTTAACCTGAAGATGGAGTTATACTCCGAAACGTAGTTATTAAAATAATCTTTTTGTACTGAGCCTATATGGTCTAATTTATTCAAA